TCGGAGGGGTCAGAACGGATTAACCGTATTTACATTGAACCTTATGGGAAAATTTGATTCGTGGAAGAGTCGCGGAACGAATTAAGTTCGTGAACTGAGGTACCACTGTATATTTTAATATGTACCAGCCTATTCAGGATAGGGCCTCCTTTTTAGCTTTTGGCACAGAGATGAGAGTCTAGAGTGTTTCTCAAGTTCAGCAACTTTAAGATGTATGGCCTTCGTGCTGGCTGAGGGATTCTGGAAGTTGAAGTCCACACATCTTAAAGTTGCTGAGCTTGAGAAACACTGCTCTAGAGCATCCCCTACAAAATGGGGCTATTCCATCTCTATTGTATTTTCACACACACACACACACAATGGAAAAGAGGCATAGGACGTGCAGGAGACCAAACCTTTCCCCACCCATTATTTGTGGCTTCAATCTTAATTAGACTCCTGGAGATTAAAAATAAAAAGAGAGCCATATTCCAAGCTATTTAGGGCCTTAAAAGTGCTGAAGGTAGCATGTGCAAAAATAAAATATTTGCAGAAATCACTGTATTTCATGAAAACCCCAGGGCAAATGCTGATAATGTGGCAGTGCTGATTGGTGAAGCCATTTCCTAGCAGAATCCGTTTGCAGAGGGGCCAAAGAGGAAGGGGACTTCCTTTTCCTTCCTGTTAGTGATCAGACGGTGTCAGAGAAGCCAAAAGGTGCCTCAGTCTGCACCATGGGAACACCTTGTTACTGATTGGCTAGGCTCCCCACTAACATATGTATGTACATACATCTCCATCATGCTATCTATGCCCCTTGCAACATTATGCAAAATGCAGAAATGTAGTAAGAAGTTTTGAGCAAAAGAAGTTAAAGGCAGGAGATAAGAGTAAAAGTAAAGCAAATTCAATTGAGTGTATACCAACCCCATTCACTGTCACCTCTCCATACATTTCTATCCTTGCAAACCATCCTGCTTCTACCTCTCCACAGACCCGTTCATAGGCTATCTTTTATCCCTGAAGCTTAGAATCACAAGGTGCTCTCCGTGGGGCTGCCTTTGAAGATCACCCAGAACAGTGTTTCTCAACCTTGGCCACTTTAAGCTGTGTGGACTTCAACTCCCAGAATTCCCCAGCCAGCATGC